CAGAATGCTCTGTCCTGCCACCACCTGGGAGCCAAGGTGGCCCACAGGGGGGACACTGCAGGCCTGTGGTGGGCATCGGTAGAGGTCACCTCCCAGAGAGAAACCCAGCCGCCCTGGGCTGTGGCTGCAGGTGCGGGGCTCCTGGCTTTATGGTCAGGGTTGGGAGCAGGTGTTTGGGAGAGCTGCGAGAGCCTCGGCCTGTTCCCTTTATCTTAAAATTTTTATTTGTGCATACAAGAACAGGGGGGCAGGCTGAAGGGGCTAAGAGGACTCACCAGACACAGCAGGGAGCAGAACAGGCAGATCTACTGGCAAACTGCTGAGGGGAGCAGCGGGCGAGACAGGCGCGGCCTGGTGCATCATGTGCGCTGGGGGTGCAACTAATGCAGCTGTTGATCGCGCTGGAACTTAACCCTGCGCCACTAGGGAAGCCCTTTCCAGCCTATTCCTTACCTCATTAGTCCTTGACCACATATACCCTGACCAGGAGCCGTGGGGGAGAGAATCTGGTTCTGGAATAATGTCCGAAAAACCACCTCCACCAGGCACTGTGCTCAGTAAACACTTTGCATCCATCATCTGTTTTAGTGCTCCTGGCCACTCTGCAAAGCAGGGGTGGTTACCCCCACTCTCATGGATGAGGAAACGGAGGGGCAGGGAGGGGCCTAGGCCTGCCAGTGTGGAGTCCCTTAGCCTTCAGACTACATATGTCGCTGTTTGTTCGTCGGGTTAGTGAGCGCACCGTTTGGTATCTCTGGGCTCTCGTCTTTAAGTCAGGCACAGTGACTCCTAGTTGGCCCTTAGTTCTGGAGCGCTGTAGTGAGCTGCTCGAGGCGTAGCAGCCCAAACTCTCAGCACAACCTCAGGGGCTGGCTGCCCAGTCTGGGTTGTCTGGGCTCCTGGGCATGCGTCAGGCTGAGTTGGCACACCTGGCTTTGGCGAGGGCAGTCCCGGCTGCTTTGGGCCTGGGCTTAACTCTGGAGGCTGCCTTGTATACTGCTGCCCGCTGGGGGTGGCAGAGGAGGGAGGTGGCAGGCTCTGTTGCAGGCAGAAAGTGCCCAGGTTTGGAGTAAGGCCTGAGACTCTGTTCTGCCTAGACTTCTTAGCTGAGAGATCTTGGGCAAGTGGCTTGCTTTCTCGGAACCATTTCTTGTGTGTTATGGGGAGCAAGGGAGGTGCTACTTCTGCATATTGAATGTGAGGTCACATGAAGTACCTGGCATGTCGTTATGCGGACGGTCAGTGTTTGATGGAGACAGCCGTGCCCAGCCGCATGGCGTGGACTTCTCCTCCTCCAGGGATCACCATATCAGGAATCCCGGACCCAGTCCCTCTCTTGCTCCCACTACAGGCCCTGGGGAGCTCCATAAGGAGAGGGTGGAGGAGGGGTCTGGCTTTTCATCCCAGGAACATTCCATTCCAGCTACTCAGACCCATAGGGATCCCAGCCAAGCACAAAGCCCAAGGGAACCTCTGGTTCCCCTGGAGAGTCCCACCCCATCCAGGGCCCCTGGAAGGAGGTAGATGTTGGAGAGTTAGGTGGGGTTGGGTGGCTGTGGGAAGGAGGTAATTAAAGCTCTTGAAATGACTCTTTCCAGCGCCTTCAGCTTCTCTGCCTCTACCCGGATCTGCACGCCTGGATTCTCCTTCCCTGGGTACCTCTTTCAGGAAGATTTCTCCAGTGGACCCTACACCACCTTGGCGCTCTCCTGACTCCCAAGAGCCCTTCACTTTATGGGGCAGGGGGCTGGATTCTGGGGAAGTTGCCTATACTCTGAATTTCTTTGTCACATTTGACTGGCTTATAATTGCAATGTTACACAGGTCCCTGAGACACAGATCATTTAGCAGTACAGCGTACTTGGCTGATGTGAAAACAAAAAGGATTTCTTTTAATGTAGCCGTCATTCTTACACAAATCACAGCGTAATCGGGGGCGCCGCATCCCTTAGTCTAGCAGCTCTGGGAGTCCTGTGGAGGGAAACCATTGGTCTGCTGAATCCCTGCTGCCCTGGTGCGCTGCCCCGCCCTCTCCACGTGGAGAGTGCCTGTGGCCTCCAGAGCATGCCCAGCTGCTGGCTTTTGGGGGGACACGCTTCTTTCTTGGGAATCTCTGGCCCCACAGAGATTCTAAGCGAAGTTTTAAATGAAAAAGATGCACATTTATTCACATATCCGGGCACTAGAGGGAAGGGGGCACATTTACTCTCGCAGCCCAGAAGCTGTAGAATTCTGCAAAATGAATGTGCCCTGGGTCAGTCCCCTGATTGTACCTGCGGGAGGAATAAATTTCAGCAATGTGCGACACTTGCGTGCGGCTCTGAGGTTTACTTTGCAGGTGTCCTTGCTGCCCTTTGTGTCTGGCAGACTGAGCTGCCAGTTCTCGAGCAGTTCAGTTTTCTTTGGCAGTGGGGGCCTGTTGATGGGTCTCTGGGCTGACTTCTCGCTCCACCTGGTTCCAGGCCCGCCCTCTCCAGGAAGTCCTCCGGATTCAGGATGTGGTGAGGAAGCTGGGGGATGGGACTGGATGACAGGGAGGTGGTGAGCTTGTTCCGGTGACAGCTGACCCCTGGGGGCTGCACTGATGCTGGCCAGGGGCTGGTTTGTCAGTCGGGGCCCTGGCAGGGGACGGACACACTGGGGAGCTTTAGAAAGGGGGCTGTTTCCAGAGGTGTGGCTGGGCTTGGGAGACTCAAGCGGTGGTGCCTCCCAGGGGCTAGTGGCAGTGAGACGCCTTTATCACCGGAGGGCTGGTGACTCGGCTCAGAGTACCCTGGAGAGGGAGGGCCCCATGAGGATGGGTGGCCTTTGATTGAGATATGTAGCCAACCATGGCAACCTGGTAGGGAGGGAGCAGGGGAATAAACACTCCATTCTCCTCTCTCCAGTCTTCTGGGGCCTCTCATTGGCCTAACCCAAGGGGAAAGCAGAGAACAAGGGAGCTATTGATGCCCAGTCTATGAACGTCAGCCACTCCAGGGCAGAGAGCTGGGAGAAGGGTGGGGAGTGGGATGGGAGATGACAACCCAGGGGTGCCTCTTGTCCCCCAAAGATCATAGCAGTGCATCTTCCCTCTCAGGAGCTCCCCCGCCTGTCAGGAGTGGGAGTAGGGCTGTCTTTCCTTAGCCTTCTCTCTGGGGCTGATTCCCAGCTCTTGATTCCTGCCTCTCCAGCCCTCTTAGAAGGCTGCAGGGATTGTCCACCAGAGGAACAATGCCAGCTCTGAGTCAGTGTTTCTCTCACACCCGGAAACACTGCACCACCTCCAACACACCCACAGGCATGCCTGCTGCCACAGGCCTCTGGCACAGTCACCACAGGCCATGGCTGGCGTCACGTGTGTGCATCAAGAATACGTACATCTTGGCACGCTGCTGGGTGCTGCTCTGACCGTACATTGTGGCAAATGTCACAATGAGACACTGTCACCTGCCCCGTCACAGAGAGCCCAGGACAGTCTAGTACCATCCGTGTGGCATCTCAGTGTAGGGGCAGGATGGTGTGGCGCTGACAGCAGGGTTCTGGAGCCACAGACCTGACTTTCCTGGCTTCTGTTTCCTCGTCTAACTAGCTCAGTCTTCCTGGTGGAGATGAGGGCTACGGGTAGGGAAGACCTGAGCAGAGCACTCCCGAAACAGTAGGCAGCCCTGGCCCACGGCCCCTCCGTGCCCCCGTGTGCTTGCAGCACTGGCCCCCCTGAGCAGCCTGCCGCAGCCCGCGAGTGTGGCCTGGCACTGCCCTCTGCCAGACGCCGTGTCCTCGGGCTCTGGCCTCACTCCTGTGTTGTCCTCGCCCTGAAGTCCACCCTGACTTCCGGCAACCTCTGGCTCTTTGAATCCTTTACGACACCTGCTTTTCAGCGTGGCTTATTTTTCTCTACCCCAACAGAATGTACTCTTCATGAGGGCGGGCATCTTGGTCTCTAGTTGGCTGGTGCACCCCTGGCACAGGCAGGCTGAAGCAGGGTGTGCACACATGTCCCTCACGGACCACTGACTTTCTTCCCCTCTAAACAATCACCTTCAGGTGAACCCCACTCCCCACCCAACCAGCTAAGCCTGTGTGCTGACACAGTGAGCACTGCGTCATGTCTGATTCAGGAGCTGGGACAAGCTTAGTCCTTTTCCATGAACCTTAGTTGGGTGTGCACTGCCTGGGTGGTCTGCTTTAGGTCACCAAGCAAAGAAAGGCTTTCTGCTCACCCTTCTGGTCACTTTGAAGCCAGCAGTGGTAAGGGGTGGGGCACCCACAGGGAGCTCCTGAGCAGGTGGGGTGGTAGGACCCACCTGGTGATCTGGGGCCTCCTGGCTGGGCCCATCAAAGCTACCACTTCAGAGGCCCCTAATGAGGCTGAATGCGTAAAGGGCTATGCAACCCCTGCATCAAAGAGGCTGGGTACAGTCCAGGACGGTGACTGGCTGATGCCTGGAGGGAACATCTCCCTGACAATCACTCCCAGACAGCCTGGCATGGCCCCAACTGGGCTGGGAAAGGAGCCCCCTTGCCCCTCTCGGGAGCCTGCTCAGAACAAGTCTGTGTGGCATCAGCCCTTAGGGGGAGAGGAGGGCGGCCCTGCCAGAGCCCGGCCACTACTGGGGGTCTCCACATTGGCCCAGATTGTTCTGTACCTGCTTCCTGAGAATGGGATGTTGTGGTGGGCAGAGCTGGGGGGTCAAGCAGCCCTGAGCCCCGAAACGTGAGGCTAAGTCCAAAGTCGCTAGGATTGCAGGTCAAAATAAAGTTGCCAGAGTCACTCGTCAGCCAGAGACTTTGAGGCGAGGTGTAGGTGAGAGCCACACGTGTGCACCTGAGCTCTTAGCACAATTTCAGGCTGGGCTCACATTAGGGAAGGAGAGGTATCCCCCCGCCCCCACCCCCACCACAGCCAGGACCTCCCCAGCCCGCAGCCCTGAAGAGCCCTCCCATCGCGCAAGCTATACCCAGGCGGCTGTGGGCCACGGCAGGGAAGGTCCTCCAGGGAGAAAGCTTGGTGCTCTGCTCGGTGTACACAATCTTTATTGGCAGGTGCTAAGAGTGCAAAATAGTAACAAATCTAGGGATGGAAAAGAAGATGGGTCAGGGCTCCCAGGTCCAAATGAGGTCCCATGCCCAGCCAGCACCCCCAGAAGAACAAGCTTTCAGGCAGGAGAAAGCAACTCCAAGGAGGCGCATAGGCCGTGACCAGCCCCAGGCTGCTTGCTCCTGCCCGAAAGCTGGACAGCTCTGCGTGGGGAGTCAGGGACTGAACTGAACTTCTTTCTCTCTCCCAATCCAGGTAGTCCTGTCAGTGATTAGCCAGGTTGGACCAGCAGGCCCTGTGAGTGTCCCAACCAGACCAAAAGTGGGTAGTTCTCTTAATGACCACATCTTAGCCATTGTGTGGCCTCCAGCCCCCAGAGGCTGCTGGAAAGAGCCTTTCCAGGCCACGTGAATCAACCCAAGACCACAGGCATTGAGGCTACCACCCCAACATGCTTGCCCCTGCCCCCCACAAATCATGCTAGTCCAAAAGTGTGGCACAGTAACTCGAAGGGACCATCTGTCAAGAACCCAGCTTGGCCTGGAGCCCACAGGCGTTCCCTCGGGGTGGAAGTCAAAGGCCCCGCGTTGCAGCAGTGCCAGGGGCCCCCCTGCCCGGGGCCACCGTCTCTGGTCAAGACCTCCACAGGCTCTGGAGAGGCCCAGTCCCCACTGGCCAGGGTCCGAGTCAGTTACAAGGCAGCCAGGTGGGGTAGGAGGCGTGCGCCCGGGCCAGCAGCGGCTGCACGGGGGTCACGTAGTAACTGACAGTGGCGGGCACTAGCCCGTCGGGCGGGCGCCAGGCCAGGGCGGCGGCGGCGGCCGGGCCCTGCTCGGCCAGCGCCTGGAGCGCCAGCGTGGCGATGAGGTCCAGCGTCTGGCGGCGCTCGTGGTTCATGAGGCACACGGTGCTCTCGTTGACCACGCGGTGCAGCGTCACCAGGCAGGCGTAGCGGCGCGCGGCGTCGGCCCCGCTGAAGTGGGCCTCCAGGTAGCGCTCCAGCGTGCGCCGCTGTTCCACCAGGTCCGGGAAGTCGATGAAGAAGCGCGAGCACATGTAGCGCTGCAGCGCGCTCACGTCGGTGCTGGGGCGCGGCCGGAAGCCCCGCACCAGGAGGTGGCAGTACTTGAGCAGCCCGCCGCCGCGGATCTCCTCGGGGCTGCGCGTGGCGATGACGCGCTGGCGCAGGTGCTGCAGCGCCTCGGCGAAGTCCCCGTACAGGCTCTCGCCGATCACCGAGGGGTGGAAGGTCTCAGACATGGGCGTGGACGAGCAGTGGTTAAAGAGCAGCAGGGAGTCCAGGAGGATCTGGAAGGAGTCCACGCTGAACTCGAACTGGCGCCTCACCGTGTCCACGAACTTGAGTTCCACGTTCTTGCCGCTCTTATTGGACAGCGAGATGAGGCTCCAGCGGTCCGTGTCCGTGCACACTTTCACCAGCTTCTGCACATACGCCTCCTTGAGCGTCAGCGGCGTGATCTTGGCCCGGCTCACCCCGGCCGGCAGGAAGTCCAGCAGACAGGCCAGCACCACCTCCTTGATGAGCTGGAAGGACGCCTCGCTGCGCAGGTCCACCCGGAACACCAGATCCAGGTCCTTGTAGCCCAGGCCGCTCTCGGGGTGCAGCACGTGGCTGGCGGCTGAGCCATGCAGCCGCACACCAAGTACCTGCAGTCCCTGCTCCTCCAGGCTGCTGCGGACCACCTGCAGGGGCAGGGGGACAGGGTCAGCAGTCTGGTCCCCGTGGCTCCGCCTGCCATCCGATCCGCCACTGGGATGGAGGTGTGGGGGGGACGCTGTGGACCACTGAGGACTTTCGAAAGCCACTTAATTCTGTAGAGAAGCCTCATCCCCTATTCTAGGGAACAGCCCATTTGGAGGAAAGACCCAGAAGGAACAGCAATAACCCTAGTAAACACACAAAGAATTCACTAGGTGCCAGGTCCTGGAACAAGCCCTGGAGACATTAAGATGTAAACTCAACATCTTTCTCACAACAGCCCTGTGAGTCTAAGTTCTACTGGCCCCACTTTGCAGATGCGGAAACAAGTTCAGAGGCCAAGTGACGAGCCCAGGTCATGCTGCTGCTGAATGCGGAGCTGGGGAAGGGGGAGTGCAGATCCAGAAGGGTCCATGTCTCAACCACTAGGCTCTACGCTACCCGTGAGACACGCGGTCCGTGCCAGGCGTGCTGTTTGTGTGCTGGAATGTAACTGGCTGTTCACATGTCTATGCCTTGCGCTTCACCACCACCCTGTGCTGAGCACCAATATCTAGTTTAAAGACTGCACTTGGGCACACAGGTTAAGAAACATGTCCAAGGTCAGAGGGTAGCGAGCCTGAGAGCAGAACCCAGTCTGCTGGGTTCTCAAGTCTGTGCCTGCTCTTTTGACTATGACACACTCATCTCAACTCATCTTTGCAAGCACCCAGGGAGGAAAACATAAGTCATTTTACAGAGGAGGAAATTAGAGCCTCCAGTGGAGACACCCAGCTTTCAGAGGGGGAGTCATGCAGCAGCAGCAGCCTAGACATTAACCTAGACCCTTTCTGCTCGGGGAGGCGGGAGTCAAGATGCCAGGAAGCCTCCCAAGCCAAGTGGGAAGAGATGCGGCAGATTGCACCTGATGACAGAGGATCATGACAGGCAGGCCTGGAAGTTATCTCGAGCCTGTCCCTTTAGCCAGAGGCATCTTCCTGGGCCTAGGACACTCCTGGGTGAGGAGAACAGAGGAGCTGGGCTGGACACTTTTTTCAGCAACACCGGTACTTCCCCCACCATCCCTGAAAGTGACCGGGCAGCATTCCTACCCCCAGTGATTCTGCAACCCCGCCTTGCTGCCAAGTCAGCGCCCAGCCAGGCTGCCCTCCTCGCCTCCTGGGGAATTACTGCAAAGAATGCACCTAAGTGCTGAGAAGGCAAGCCAGTGGGGCAATCGAGGCGGGCGGTTCCCTCAAGGAAGGCTTCCTGGAGGAGGATCCTGTCTAGGGGAAGATATGGTCTGGCCAAAGGGTAAGGAACCTGCCAGCAGGAACAAGGGGGCGGTTGGGGGGCAGAGGAATGTTGGTCAGGCACCTACTAGGACCTTCTCACCAGAATCTCTGGGGCCCTGTGAGCTACAAATGGGGAAACTGAGGTGCACAAGGCCAATAAGCCTCTCAGAAGCACATCTTCCAGAACCATGAGCTGGGGAGCCTCCTATAGAAGAGCGGGCCCCTGTAGCCCAGAAACAAGAATTAGCAGCACCTCCATCCAGCAGCTTAGATTTGCAGGGGTAGACAGGGAGCGCGCTCCAGTCTAGGTATGGCTGATTCCAAAATCCAGAGACAAGAAATTAAGGTTTTAATCCCCTCTGCCTTTACAGTTGTGACTCCCAGAATGAGAACGAGGGTAGTTGGGGAAGTGAAGGTGGAGGTCAGAGGACGCCAGACGCAGGGGAGGGGGTGGGGGGGGGCCCGTTGCTCCAGTCCAGCCTACGGGACTTCCAACCTCCCCCTGACAGCCAGCGCCTGTGTAGTCAGGAGCGACGTGAGCCCAAGACTTTGCTCCACGGACCCTGCCAGACCTGCGGAGCAGACTAAGCCCTCTCCAGTCCCATTAGAGCTGACTGATCCTTACTCAGTGCCCACCCTGGGGCATGGCATCTGGCTTGGTGAGCAGGAATCAGTACCCTCATTAAAGTGCCTGCGTCAGGCCATGGGACCAGCTGTGTCAGGCAGCCAGAGGCTGTTGTCTCTTCCCAGGTATGACTACAGCCAGCTTGGCAGGAGGTCCCCAGATACTGTCACACCCAAGGACTGCAGTGCCACTTGGTGCCTCCTGAATCAGACTTTCCAGCCTCGGAGGGGGCAGTGGCTGCACCCTCCTTTCTCCTGTGCCAAGGTCCCTCCCCAGAGCCATTCTGCTCCAGGCTGCTGCTGAGACCTGCAGGGAGACTGTGGGTGCAGCCAGTTAGCAGACTTCCCAAACCCACATCCAGTCACCGACACAGGCCCTCTGGCTGTAGCTGGAGAGAGCAAAGTGCCTGATTCAGTTCTCCGGATCCAGAGAAGACGAAGGACTTGTCCCAGATCACAGAGCCAGTAAGTGGCCAGGCTTAGCAAGAGCCATGCCTCCTCTTATGAGCTGGGGAGCCTCCTACAGGAAAGGGGGCCCCTTTTGCCCAGAAAAAAGAATTAACAGTATCTCTAGCAGCTTAGACTTGTGGGGACAGAGAAGGGAGAGTTTCCAATTCTTGAATTATGGGGCAACTCAGCATTGGCAAAAGGCCCAAGATCAACAGCCAGTGCCCCCAGCAGCTTCCATCTCTGCTCCCCCAGCACCCCCCACACACAGTCCAAAGCTTGCAAAGCTGCCTGCTGCAGATTCCTGCCAGGAGACAGACTTTCTTTCCCGTGCAGACAATTGTCTGGGTTGGGCGAATACATGTTTTCTTTAAATTCTAGAACTAGGAAGGTAGAGAGCAATCTATTGAACAGATGGGGACCCTGGGCCATCAAATGGAATTGACAACAGACCAGACCCTGAAGCCAGATATCCAACTTCCCAATCCAAAGCTCTGGAGCCTCTGAGGCCGACCCCCACTCCCCCCGCCGGCCCCCAATCCACAGCTCTCAGTTCTGAATTATCTCTGACCCTAGTCTAGAGGGACATGTACTACTGTGAGATTATGAAGTCAGCTTCTATCAGCAGATAGTTTCCCTGCTTCCTGGAAGCACCTGGAAGGCAGGGGGACGACCTGTCCCATCTGGGCCCGAGTGTCCTGAGCAGGGCTTGGCACAGGAAGGCAACAAGAAAGGCAGTTGGGACCCTACGGACAGGGACAGGAACTTCCCTTCCAGGACACCCCCTGTACCTGGAGGGAGACTCTCCCATTGGGCCCTCCTACCACTTTGTCCATGCCAGGAACCACAGTCCTGATGGTACAGCAAGTGGGGCCCTGAGGTTGACGTGACCGTCTTGGGGAGAAAAGCCTCCACGGTTTCCTAATGACTCCACGACAACGGCAGGCCAGGAATGCCTCATGGAGCAGCAGTGGGGCTGCGGGTGAGTCAGCGGTAGAGAATCTGCCCCCACCTCCTCCCATTCCTTGGGAGGGAGGGGGAGATAGTCCCCCAGCAAACACCCCTCCTCACTGTGTGGAAAGTAGGGGGCAGGAGAGTGGCCTGCTACATCTCGCTGGCAGGCCCCCTTCCAAGAAAGGCCATCTGGGGTAGGAATGCACAGGGGCTGAGTCTGGATTTCTGCTGCTTCTATCAGAGGATTCCTTAACACCTAGAAGCTGAGTCTTGGGAGCTGGGTGAGGGGTGGGATAAACCTTGAACCTGCAGCAGCATGTTCCTGGCAGAACCAGGATTTTCTAGGTTTGATTTTTACCTCTTTGGCAGCTCACAGTCCCTCTTGGGGCCCAGCTTTCACAGCTATAATATAGGCATAATAAATATCATTTTCTAGTAACCCAGTGCTAGGGTCACACTGGTGAAAGAGCAATTTTAGGGTGGTTGAGGGTCAGGTAAGAGTCTGAGGAGGGGAGAGGTTGCCAGAACGCTCTCCTTTGTTTTCTAAGTAGAAAGATGGGGCTTGGAGCCTGAGACCTGGGCTGGACTTCACTTCCAGTCTTGGGGAGAAAAACTCCTACACTGGACACCTGAGGTTGCCCTCTGGAGTGCAGGCATCACAGCTGGCCTGGGGCTTCATTAATCTCCTCCTGCCACAATCCCAGCTGAGAGGGAAGGAGTCCTGCCAGGATTTCTCTGAATTTCTATTTTGGACCCAAACATGCACACTTAACCATCCAGGGCTGCCTGGCACCTTTTGTCCTTACAGGCAGCCTGTCCTATCCCTCCCCACAGTGGATGGGGTGGAGGGGGAGGAATCAGTGTTCCCCACGGACAAGGTATAGGAAAGCCAAGGGGAGAGAGATACTGAAGTGCAGGGAGAAGGGGATCTGCTCTTGGGGGCTCCTCTCATCTGCTAGAGTAGAGGAACATAGTCAATGTGCGCTGCGCCTTTCTTCCAGTGCCAGTTCCTTTCTGGGTCCCATCGTCCCTAGCTGTCCAGCAAATCGAACAGAATGCGAGTGCCTTCCAGCCAGGAGAGCCTCAGCGTATAAAGACCCTGTATCCCCGCCAGGCGCTCTCACCTGCACGATTTGCCGGGGCTGCACGCTTAGGGTGGGGAAGTTGCCGCGCCCGTGAATGGGAATCGGCTCGCTCAGGAGTGCGTCCAACCGCTTCACCTGTGGCCATCCCAGCCCACTCAGGTGCCGTCCGGGGGATGACGATGAGGCCTCTGGGTCGGGGCCGCCGCCTGCCGGGGCGGCCGTGGCCACCGCCGAGGCTGCAACCCTCCCCAGCTGCACAGCCGCCCTGTCTGTGTTCTCAGCTCCGCTCTCCGACGGCATCATTAGCCTGGCCCCGGGGCCCCGACAGCAGAAACCGGGGGGTTGTTAGGGGAAGAGGGCAGGGAGAGCGGCTGGGCTGGGGCCGAGGATGGGGGCACGGCTGCAGCGACCCGGCGGCAGCTACAGCTAGGCAGACCCAGGGCGCGCCTCCGACCGCGACGACCGACCGACCCCAGAGTCTGTGGCCGCCGGCCCAGTGGACTCTTATAGGCCGCGGGCGACTTGCCCATTGGTTTTGGCAGCTGTCACGCAGCGGGGTCCGCCCGACGCCCTTGTCATTGGTCAGCCGAGTGATGCACGTGAAACACTGATCGCCAGAGAAGTTCTGATTGGCTGCAAAGCACGCCCCTGCCCCGCCCCCAGGCTGAAGACCCGCCTTCGGCCCTTTAAAGAACTTCTCTCCACGGTGATTGGACCTGGCGGAGGTCGTGCGCCTTAGGCGCCGCGCCCTCCAGAGTGGGGACACAGGAAGCGCACTGCAATTCGTAGCGGAGTTGGACCTTAGGCTTCTAAGCCGACCTTAGGATTCCCCCTTTTATTTTGGCTTTGAAGATCCCGTGGTTTGGCCCTGGCCTTCCGCTATTTTCTGAAGCCCAGAGAGATGGCGTCAGTTCCAAGCCACACGTCTGTCCTGCTCTGCGGCCGTCTTCGTCTTCGGGGAACGGTGCAAACGCTGCCTGAACCGTAGTGAAAGCTTTTGATGCACTCCTCCATCGGTCAGTGGCTGCCTGCTTGGCCAGCGCTAATGTTCCGGCTTAGGGGAGGGGACCTCTGTGCGGGAGCGTGGCGCCCTCAAGGTCACACAGCGGGGAGAGCTGAGTGGGGGCCGTGGCGCTGAACCTGATTTGTATGGTCTGTGACGCAGTTTTCCCCACTACACTTTCTCCCCGGGGTCTTTGTGAGGCTGGAGGATGCAAGGAATCTAGAACTGGAGGATGTGGAACCCAGCGTCTGGGGTCCTTCTGCAGCCCCTTGCGGGGGGGTTGGGGGGGGCGGCTGGGTGTGCATCTATCCGAGTCTTTCCTGCCAGTCTCTTCTCAGGTCCCCTGTGCCCTCAGGCAATCACTGATTCTCTGGAGACAGTTTCCTTATCTGCCCCAGGAGATGCTCAATAAATATTTTTAAAAATTGACTTATTTATACTTTACCAAACATTTTTGTTTTCTTTCTTTTTAAAAAGATTTATTTATTTATGCATACAGAACTCTGGGGTACAGGCCAGAGGTGGAGGGGCCGTGAGAGGACTCACCAGAGACAGAGTGGGGAGCAGAACAGGCAGAGTGAGGAAGAACAGTGCTGAGCAGAGCAGCAGGCGGGACAGGAGAGGTCTGCTGTGCCATGTGGGTCCCCTCCGGGGCGGGGGATCAAACTCACATTGAGGTGGCTGCGGTTAGCTTGCAGGGCTGCATCCTAACCCCATGTGCCACCAGAGAGGGCCCACATTTTTGTTTTCTTGAAATATGTTTACATATATTTCCTCTTTCACTTTACAGAACCCAGAGGGATGAAGCCTGCTGGGGTTATTTTTTCTGATTTTAAATTAATGTGCTTGTGGCAAAATTTGATATATGGAGTCTGATTCATTATGGCAATATTTTATCTTAAATAGCATTCTATTTAAGCATTCTGTTTCAGTTTCTTACCCCCTCCCCCATCCTGTAAGGTAGGCTGAGCCAGGAGTAATGTGCCCGATGTGCAGAAGGGGAAACAGAGAACTAGGAGTGGTAAATTACATTCCAAGGTCACCCGCTTGCTTGTGACAGAGCCAGGTCTAGGGCCTAACTCTGACTAGAGTCACTTCCTCTTTCTGGAGGCCAAATCAAGCACAGTCCTGCCTTGTTCCGGAAGCCAGCCCTGCCTTTGGGCGGTCCCGCCATCTTGCCTGGGATTGTGGGCTCCCTCTGGCCCCAGGGAGCGGACAAGCTGCTTGTACTTGCATAGATGCTTACTGTGTTGTTTTATTTTCTTTTGAAAGATAAGAAATAGATAAGAAATGTTCTTTGGGTTAGACCTGAATCTCTAAATTCTTGACCTTCTACAGCCATGCCCCATCAGAGGATGGAAAAAAGAGGTACCCACATTTACTGAATACCTACTGTGCACCAGATCACTTTACATGCATGACTTCTAACACCTAAAAATATACATCAAGATGTGATATCATTACCCTCAAGTTTATAGATGAAGAAACTAAGGCTCAGCTCAGCCACTAATTGGCAGTGTGGGGCTCAATCCATAACTCTGACTCCAGAGACTGATTTTTTCAACTGCTCTTCACAGAAGAGTTGGAGCAGATCAGCAGCCTCTTTGGCACAGCCCTGGCACCATCCATAAGACCCAGACACTCTTCAATTAACGCACAGATGCCAAGAACCTATAGTGTGTGCTAGGTGCTGGGTTTGGCCCTGAGATAGGATAGGCAAGGTCCCTAAAACTGACATTCTAGTGTAGAAAGACTGTAGTCAAGTGAACAGATAAGACAATTCAGATAGTGTTAAAAAGAAAATCAAATGGAGTAATGAGAGAGAGAGAGTGTGTGTGTGACAGAGAGAAAGGGAGCGAGGGAGAGATAAAGAGACTGCAGAGATGGATGTGATCTTGGAAGGCCTCTGTTGGTGCCTGAATAGCCAGGACAACAGAGAAGATGCCAAGTCATGAATTCCTACAGCTCTACAGGCCTTTGTTTACCTTCTTCCCACCTTATAGCTGGGAACATGGGGGTCCAGATAGCCAGAGGGATTTACCTCAAGGGAACTGGCTAGGGCCGGAGCTATACAGGGCAGGACTTCGTGGGGTGACCTGGTACTGTCCCCATTTCACACACTTGAATTAATTTCTGTAGGGAAGGAAACTTAAAAGATCTTTCCTCTCTCCTTTCTTTAGTCTGGGTTAGGGAGAGCAATTAGCAAATTCATGCCTTGTGAATCACCCTTCTGTCGTCACATGATCCAGTGTTTGCCCAATCACAGTACCTGAACATCACTGATGATGGTGATGTGTGTGTGTGTGTGTGTGTGTGTGTGTGCGCTCGCTCACAATTTGGGGGGTGTGAGAAGAGGAAAAGAGCGAGAGCAAGATGTACTTAGTAGGGTTTTTCATTTCACAAAGGCCAACTGTAATTGTCCCAGTGACTGGAGGGGAGTGACTGCTGAGGTATATCCTGAAGAATACAGCCAATATTCAGATATTGTCCATGAGCCTTTTCCCCTGTCAAATCTTCCCACCTCAAGTTGAACTCCAACTGATTTTAAGAGGGGACTTTCTGTGATAATTGGGTCTTTGTGACATATATAATTTACTTTCTTTCTGGGTCTCAGTTACCTAGTCTGTAAAGTGGGAGTAAAATAGGAGTCAGACGCTTACATTTACACCTTCTATAATTTGAGGTGGTGGGAAGGGGGGAGTCCTGAGGAGAGTCTTGGTTCCTGTACTGGCCCCTCGTCAGCTCTAGCACTCCAGACAAGAGCATTCTGGGAACTGCCTGCCTCCTGCACACCCTGTCTGGAATGATTTTTTCTCATTCAAATTTCAGAGCATAATCCATGACACAGAAGTAATCTCTCACTTTTCACCAGAGGAAACAGATTCAGAGAAGTAACTGAATTGGTATAGAGTCCCACAGCCGGAAAAAGGGGTTTCGCACCCAGCCCGGCTGAATCCCAGCCCGCACTCTCCTCAGACCCTGCATCTGAGGGTGATGTGACTCGTTCAGTTACTCAGATTACCCTCCCCGGTGGGGAATCGCCCACCCCTCCTGCAGTTCTTGCCCTTCACCTTGCCTCAGCCCCTTAGGACTGAGGTAATTTCCTGGGCCTTGTCATTACCAATAATTGTACCCCTACCCTGGGTAATTTTAACATCAAGTATCCCACCCTCCTGAGCCACCTCCTGTTTACTCCTGGAAGCCTGACTCTCAACAGGGCCTTCACGCCACTGCCCCTGCCTCCGACTCTTCCTTACCTTCTTCAAGTCCTGCCTTTCCTCCTCAACCAGCTCAGATTCCCAGGGACATCCTGATAATTACTCTCTTGCAAACACCCTCAACCCCCTTGCTCCTCTTGTTAAATTGCATTCACCTGGCCAAACCACACCCTGGTTAATCCAACTCAGCGCTTGCACCCACACACTTGATGAAGCCGGAGGAGAGACCCAGCCCTGCTGACTGGTCTCGCTTGAAGGGCACTCCCGCCCCTCCAGGGGGCCCTGGGTGCAGTCTGGCAACCTGCCAGAGGCCCAGTCCTTTTGCTACCCAAGGTCCAGAGGTTCATGCCCTCTCCTCTCTCCTCCCCACCCCCTTCTCAGCTAATGGGCCTTCTTCCTACTTCGCTAAGAAGACAGAAGCAAGCCAAGTGCTTCCACAGCCTCCCAACAGCTCCTGAACCCCATCTTGGCCTGTTCTGGACAGCTCATGTAGATGGAGTCACATCACAGGTGGTCTTCTGTGACTGCCTTTTATCAAGCATAACGTTTTCAAGGTTCATCTATGTTCCGTCTGTATTCATATTTCATTTTTCCTTTATTACCAAATAATACTATGTGGATATATGATTATAGAACGTTTTCATTTGTTTATTAATTAGTTGATAAACATTTGAAACATTTGGTTGTTTCTACTTTTTGTTTATTATGAATGCTGCTATGAATATTCATATTCATGTAGTTTTTTTTTTCTTTTTAAGAGCTGTTTTAGGTTTATAGCATAATTGGTGGGGGGAGAGATAGAGATTTCCCACATGCCCTCTACCCCCACACATGAATCGTTTCTCCCATTATCAACATAATCCACATAATTATGGCATGTCATAATCACCCAGAGTTCATTAGGATTCACTCTTGGAATTTTATAAATTGTTTTTTTTTTTTTTTTAAGGTTTACTTATTGATCCTTTTCCGGTTCAAAAGCATGATGATTGGGTGTTCACACTGTTGGGTGAGATGTGTCTCCTTTAAACCTTGTTACAATGTTGGCACATTACTCTTCTGATGTGAAAAAAAGTGTACTTATTTATGCATACAGAACTGGGGTGCAGATCAGAGATGGGGGGGTGAGAGGATTCAGTGGAGACAGAGTGGGGAGCAGAACAGGCAGATGGACTGAAACACACTGCTGAAGGGAGACAAAAGAGGTCTGTTGTGCCACGTGGGTCACCTCCCTGGCT